TGATTAAATAAATATACCTGTATGAAAATGTGTATTTTTATCTTTTGAATCTTTTATTTGTGATGCTTGTATTGATGCACGTGGTGTTTCATCATCATCATCTAGATCAGTATCAATGTTAGTTATTTGTAATTCATCTTCTTTTTGTGATATATATGTGTAATATGTTCGTCTTAATGTTGATGAATATTTTTCAAGATAATTATTTAATAAATCTGAACCTAATATATGTTTTATATGTTGTATTGAATTAATAAGAATATCATTATATGTTGAACGAAATGTATTATCTTGTAAATATTGAAGAAGTATTTCAAATATAGGTGATAAATTTTCATATTGATGTATAGTTGTTAATAATTCATTTAATAATTGAATTGATTTAATACGTAATCTTATATTTGAAGATTTTAAACCATCTTGTGTATAAAGAAATAAATATGTTGGAATATCTTGTGTTATACGAATTTGTTTGACTACTAATTGTCCAGCTAATAATTGTACATCATTTGATGTTGATGAAAAACATTGAATAATTGCTACAAAAAACAAAAGAAAAGAGAAAACAATGAATTTTTATTGTCTCTTCAATTAATATTAAATTAACCTGGTAGATAAATACGTTGATCATATTGATGAATATTTGTTTGAAGTTCAGATAATAATGTTAAACAATTATATTGATATTCAATATTTGTTGTTTGTTGAAGAGTATCTACTAGAGATGATAATACATCATGTCTTTGTGAAACATCAAGTATAGTTGATAAACGATTACGTCGAGAATTTTTACACCAACGATTAACTATTTGAATTTTATGTTCATTATTTTGACCATGTAAAAGTATATCAATTAGTTGATTATCAGCTATACTTATATCAGTTTTAGGCAAGAGAAATGTATTTGATGATGATGAACCGGAACCAGTTGATGTTGTATGAAATGATGAAGTAAGAGCCATTGATAACGATCACCATGAATGATCTAAAAAGTTTTTTTTTGTATAATGAAATTGGTGTGTTTGACGACAAAAACACATTTTATGTTCTTTTTTTTTTTTAACGCCTGCAATCCTATTTGTTCTTCAAACGAAAGAAAAACAACAGGAAAAAAAAAATATAATCGCTATGATATAACCTTGAGTAAATAGTTGGAGATAATTTTTCGCTATATAAAAGAAATATAGGCCATGCGAACTTTTGTCGTTGTTATATAGTAGGAGAGAGAAAAAAAAATCGAAGATGAAAATTTATAGTGAAATTTGATTCTTACTCCTTTTACGAGTCCTTTTTTTTTTTTTTCTTTTTTCATCAGTCATATAGTCAGGTTTTTGTTTGTTTCGTTAAAATACAATAAAAGAGAATAAACGCATTGTTACGACATGACAGATGTCGAAACCTGTAGTGAACGTAGTTAACACCTCTAAAATGAGTTATAAATCAATAGACAACTACTGACCTCTGTGCAATTAGAATGTTCAGATGATTTCGGACATAAAGGGGAGACTGTTGTGTATCTTCTTTATCACACAGAGAATTTTCATTATATGCACCTGACATTTTATATTATCTTTTATCTATAAAAATTCTGTTTATTCAATTTATCTATGTGACTACTCAATGTTGTAAGTAATCAAATGTGACAAACACATTTTTATCGATGGTTACCAGTTTTAAAAGTTACAAGTGATGTAAATGGTAACCTTTTGTAAAGTATTGTTAATTGATCTTTCAGTTGAGATCGTCAAAATAAAACCGATGATGATTAAGCATGTTTTGAACATGTCGTTCTCTGTTTTTCATATTTACTGATTCTTACAATGAAGTAGGTGTTAAACAAAATATGAGTGCTGATTTGTAGAGGAGTGCGTAGAGCGTGATACCTTCCTGCTCTCAGTGCTGAGCGACGCTTCTAAGTTTGTGTATAATCAAACAAAAATATATTATAAACAAATGAAAAACGAACGTGACGTCAATGAAAATTTTACACATAATCAAATAATAGAGTCCAGTTTTTTGGTTTTTTACAAAGGAATATTTCTAAATATCAGGTCGTTTTTGATTGGATACTATGTAAATCATATAGGATTTAGAAATGTATTTTTTATCAGAATACTGTGAACTCCTTCAGAAACACTGAGCTTCGAAGTTCGACTTGAAGCGTTGCATATAGACAGGTTTTAACGGACATAGTTTATTGTGTAAGTTTCAACTTTTATGATTACGCCTATTTTAAAATAAGAACATCGGATTTTGCCATTGTGTATGAGCGGCGTGAAAACATGCTTTTCCTATACTTGTATCTTATAATAGAAGCAATCAAAAAATCTGAAACTTCTATAATAAACTATTCTCATTAAAAGCCTATCTATCTCTATGTAAAGTGTCACGTCGAAATTTGAAACTAATATTTCTAGTGTTCCTGAAGAGAATCACGGCATTCCGATAAAAAATACAGTATCTCGACAATAATAAGTTATTAGTCTGAAATCTTTTCAGAGTATCTACAGTTTCTTAGAAACGTTTTCTTGTTATTCGAGATTTTTCTGCTTAGTTTCAATGTCGATTAATATTAACCAGATATGATCAGTTAATGTAGACCGATTATCATTGCTAATATTTTATGATAAATCGCTGATATTTACATAATACAATATGGATTCTTCTCATCAATTTTCTTCACTTATTTTCATATTCTATATTGGAAATACTCAAGAGATGTTCATTTAGTAAATGATTGTTCTATAAGTATCTTTCAATAATATGACAATAATCGATTTCTCTTTAGACCATACATAGTATATGAGCCGATTGATTAATACAATGGTGCTTAATCTTAAGTACTATATTTGATTTTACTATACGACTTCATATTCTATGAACTATAAGCTCGAATGAATGTCATATTTAGCTATATGAATAGCCGGAAAACATACATATGGCGGAAGCCGGTAAAAAAATCAATTAACTGACCTTGTTCTGTTCCTATAGAATCATATCACAATGCATGGAAGGTTTTTTTACTGTAAAAAATAGAATATTAGCCTTGAGTTGAAATTGCACTATTCTAATTTTATGAATGTACTTGAATAATCTGTTTTTTTTTCACAAGGAGAAATTGACACATTCTAAGCAAATGGTTTTCATTTAATACTCAAAAAGAAAAAAAGTTAATAATTGCTCTAGAAAAGTCAACTCTATGAGAATGTTGATTTTCTGAAAAAGTGTGGTTAATCATCGATTTCAATGAATAATAATTGATCATAAGTATCGATATCTTTTGAAGTACCTGTCTAATTCGAATTCCAAAAATGTATGAAAATTTCATTGATACTTACACAACCAAGGCGAAAGATAAATTTTTGACTCAAGTGCGAGTGTAATTGAAGATATTATCGACACTCACTCTACTGTGTATACAGAGACGAGCATTTATTGCAGCTCTTCAAACAACGCTGATATCAAAGGTCAATTCGCGGCCAAAAGTACTTTCGTAGAGGTACACGTTCTAAGTCAGACTTTGGGCTTAGGAGAGACTTTAATAAAAGCTTGAAAATATCAATTATCATAGTAAAACTATAGTAGAAACAAAAATGCATTTTTGGCCATTCTAACATGAAAGTACTGATTTGAATTCGAATTAGGCAATCTATAATTTTACGATAGTCGAAGAATGTTGAATATGTTAATTATTCAATTGAGTTTCTCTTTTGAACATGAATACTCAAAACAGAATTATAACTTTCTGCCTAAAAGTTTATTTTCAGTTAACCAACAAAAAATTTTTCGGAATTTGTTACTTCATTGAGAATATGAACGTGTATAAAACAAATGTGATTTTACTAGAAAGAGCTTCTAATTATGATCTAAAGTTGGATAAAATTAAGTTTTATTTCAGTATTTAAAATAGTCAACGTTGAGTTCTCTTATTGAAAATGAACCTAATAATTGATAGAAAACCTCTTGCTTTTTCATTCATTGTAGTCTGTAGTTGAAATCATTGATTTTTATCAGTTTCTACTGATTGAACTAGATACACCATTCGTCCATAAAAAATGGAAACTCACGAAATTTAAAGAAATCAAGTGTTTGGAGGGTAACAGTCTAGAATGTCCTTTCGAAAATGTCCTTTATTTTTTCGTCCTTACATATATATGTATGTGAGAGGACGAAAAAATAAAGGACATTTCGTCCGAGGGCATTTTCGAAAGGACATTCTAGCATGTATTCCTATTTAGTGTCTTTCGGCTACTGAAAACCGATCAATTTTGCTAAGTATATGTTTGCCTGTTGTAGATAATGCTGTGTTGGTACCAAAGGTCGTAATTGTGAATATCTACATAAATGCCCGTTTAATCATTAAAACATATATTGATCTTTTTGATAATTCATTTTCCTCTCCCTCTATTCAATTACTTCGTCATGTAGTTCTTCATTATCTGTAGATGAATTTTCATTGAAAACGAATTATTTTAGTGAAACAATATCGTTTCCTACTTCTGTGAACTATTCTCAAGTACAATAAATTACTTGCAATAGTTTTCATTCTTATTCTTTTATATGATTTAGCAGTTTAAAAAAGTAAAAATACTTTTAAAACGTCAAAATTTCATTAATTGCCGTGTCGAGCGAGTACTACGTGTCTGACTGAATTGTAAAACACTAGTGAAAATGTGTCAAAATCCATCTCGTTGTAGAATTTTTGAACTCTACTTCAATTGTTGTTGAAATTCCAATAACCGAAATGGAGACTACTATTGACTAATTCATCTAATATTGGTTGAATTAAATCTTAGTTTAACTCATTTATTAGCTCGAACAAAGAGAAAGAGAAATACAAAATATATGATCAAGCTTTAAAATCTTTATTATGATAAGAAAAAATATTGTAGAGCACATAGTAGAGGAATAGTGAACGATTGCATCAAAATAATATAGGGAAGATGACAAGAAAAAAAAATCAATAATCGAAAAAAATAAGTCATGTTTTCTTTTTCTATTTACTCCAATAGTGCTGGATTTCGTAATCCAAGTGCACTAAGAAAAATACCCATTGGTGTTGATTGAATACCAATTTGATCAATTTTATTTGCTACTTTATTTGCCAAAGTTCGTTTTCGACATGTTGCATGAAGAATAATGGCTTTAGAAAAAAAAGAAGCAAAATTTAATAAAATAACTTATGAAAATAAAAACTACAAACCTTGAATAGGTAAAACAATACCAATAAAGAAAATTAATAATTTTCCAAGAAAACTTAAAATAAAATATGATATACCAAGTAAAGCAATAAGAACAATAATTGGTCGATCTTCTTTAGCTGAACGAAAAAAATGTTCGACTGATGCTAATGGATTATTTCCAACTCTAGGTGCTGATGATATATAAACAAAACCCATTAATACAGCCATAACAACAACTAAACCAAAAAGAAAATCCACTGGATAATTAATTCTAAAAGAAAGTTTTGTTAAATATAAATTTGAAAAAAAAAAGTTCTTTTTTTTTTCTTACCCAACAAGAAGGAATAGAACAATTCCAAAAACAAAATAATTTGTTTGATAATAAATTAAATTACTAACAATACGATTATTTAAACGTGGAAAATCCGAAAAATTTGGTATATTCCATGTTGCATCAAGAATAAAATCATTTAATGAACGAAATGGTGCAAATTGTAAATCTTGTCCTGACATTTGTTTTGTATCTTGACGCATGTTTATCTGAAAAATAGACACATATGTATATATACATTTAGGATACAATCACTGTCCCTAATCTATTTATTTTTTTGGACAATAACAGCAACAACAACAAAGAGAAAAACAAAGTCATCCGTTTGTACAAAATAAATAAAAGAAAAACATTTTGTTTTTTTTTTTTTTACAATTCATCAACATGTGATGATTCATTATGAACAATAATTCCAAGATTATGACGAATTGTTTCAGGTGATATAACTTCTTCGGGACCATGCGATGACATATGCGTCATATCACTAAGATTGTAAAGAACTTTTTCAGCTAAATCATATTCATTAAGAGGTTCATTTGGCTGCTGCTGCTGTTGTTGTTGAGATGAAGGTATTATTTGATGAATTTTATTTGATGGTTGACCTAAACGATCATATTGTGCTTGACGTAATTGAACTAGTAATTTAGCATTTTCATCTAATTTCATATCTAATTGATGTTGAATATTATCATTAGAATTTATATGGGATTCAATTTTAATTGGATCTGATGTTGAAATATGATTGGAATTATTTATTTGTTGTTCATTAGATGAGTCTAAATTATTATCAATAAAAAAAACAAAAAATAATGTTTGAGTTATAATGAATTCGACTATATAGAAATATAATTTTCCTTTCACGAACAATTCATTCATATTATCAAACGATAGAAACTTTCAAGTTTTACAATTCTATGAAAGTCATTTTTAACTACAACCCATCGTTACTTGTACTTTGCATAAGTACAGAACAGGGTGCAAATGTTTGTCTTAAGGAAAGATATTTTTTTTCTCTTTCTGATATCCAAGTTTATCGGTTGGATGTAAACAAATGATTTTCCTATAGTTTGCAACATGTAATGTCAATGTACTAATCAAACAACATGTGTTTGTAGATCATACTTCATTTTAAAAAATCCATGACAATGAATTAAAGAAGTAGAAAAATCGCTAGTAATCGGAGTGACAGAAATCGTTGTTGAATCGTAATAGCTGTTTCTGTTATTCTTTTCATCTATTATCATGTTCACTATTTGTTGATGAAAAATAACTTCCCTCCTGAGATAATCACATAAATGATTTGTATAAAATTAGTTAAGTATTTGTGAAATGACAGGACAGTCTTCGGAATTTTTTTTACAGTAATTTAGATTTTCTAGGGAGTTAAAAGTCTCTTGAAAGCATTCTTACTGCAGTTTTTTTCTCAACAAGACTAAACGGTTGATGTTACCCATAGTGCGACATTTTTTCGGCAAAATTTATGTAAAAGTGAAAAACCAAAGGAGATATAAAATTTTATTTGCTGTGTGCTAAACTTTTGATATATAGCGGAAAAGATAGATGATTTCATCGAGAATATTACCGTTTATTTTTAGTACTTTAGTGACAATATACGGATGCACTACAAATAGGACTACGACAGCACATTGAAATATCTCAGTTTCCGTGCACTCAAATGGGTTGTTTTTTGAACCTGTGGTAAAGTCTATTTCGTACGGATAAAGTATACAAATACTGCTGACGTATAAGAGAAATCATTGCATAGATAATTTTCATTTGTCAACTAAGAGCATAATAAGAACAAGTTTCCTAAACTAGTGAGTTAAAATGCTGAAATTCGTATTTCATAAAGTAAAACGCACTATTGCAACCCTTTCGACACCAAAATATCAACTCTCTTTCAAAAACCAGTGTTCTACGTTTGAAAATTCTCTCAATATAATATCATTTATAAAGTTCAATTTAATTTCTTCTCTTATAGGACAACTGAAAATTACCTGTGAAATGCTCTACATGTACTTTTCTTACTTAAGAATGGATGAGATTGCTTTCATGATATCAACAATAATACTTCATAGTAGTATATGCTTATCTTATCTGTATGAGAACAAAAAAGCCTTGCATAAGCTGCTAACACTAATCCATAAAATCCGCTCATATGATTAAACTGATGCAGAAATATTTCATTATTCAAATCGTAATTCTATTTATGACCGATCCGGTATATTGTGTATTTCAGTATGTTAGGAGCTAGATATAAGTCAATATTTTATATGAATAGTCACTAATTGAAAAATTGCATTTACATTTAGACCAACTCATAATAATTCGTCCGTTAGTAGACATGAGCATACGAATCATGACAATTTGACATTCGATCCACGTTTTACATTACTACAAGGTGTCCTTCCCAATGAGGCCACCATGATTGAGTGAGCGACTATGCTTTTCGACAGGTATCCATAAGATACTATACTCAAATCTCAGTGTTACTAACTAAAAAATGTTTCGAGATAAGTCACTCGCAGCTGTTTGTCTCGGCTTACTCATGTGATAGCATGTTGAGTAGCAGGAATGATGTCAGGCTATTGAATCTGTCCATAGACAGTATCCCATATCACAAAGTTATTGAAAGGCAGAGGTACCCTTCCTTCCATTCCGAATGAAAAAGTATTCATTCTGGTCTCGATCGGAGACTAATTTAGAAAAGGAATTCTGAAAAACGATCGTTCCTCTCTTTCGAAATTCTTAGCTTAACAGAAAACGCCCAAAAACGAATCCATACAGTCTCTAATGGACCTCAAAAACATATTTTCTGCTCATGATCAAAACAATTTAATATTGAAACACATACTATCATTCGTTTGCTTTGCTTGTTTCATATTTAAACTATCATGTTTACCATTTGTTAATGTCGATAAAAATCTATCAACATAAGCTAAAGCTAAATCTCCTGTATCTTTAACATAATCAATTAATGAAACAGCATATTGTGCAGAAAATTCACTTCCATATGTATGTATTAATAAATCAAGTTCATCTTTTGATACAGACGTAAATGATGAATCATATTGTGGTGCATGTGATGAAAATGGTCCATAATCAAGAAAATATCTTGGTAATAAATGATTACGTTTTTCACTTTCATTAACAATTGGTATTGGATGTGGATGATATGCATTAGCTGATGGACCACCAGCACTAGATGGCATATTACTTAATTCACCAATAGTTATTGTACGTGTTTGAGATTGTTGTTGAGATAGATCATCTTGATTTATAAAACGTAATGATGTTGTACCATTTGTACGTTGATATGAAAGTTTATATGCTGATATTGGACGACGTAAACTTAATTTTTCACGTGCACATTGACCAGCTTGTTGTGCTTGAGAAAGTATTTCTTCTGGTGATAATTCATCTTCATCTTCTTCATCAGCAAGTAATGTTGATAATTTTTCATAATATCTTGGTAGTTTTAAAACTAATTTTGGTTTACGTTGTACATTAGTTTGATTAATTGAATTCTCATTATCATTTAATGTGATATCCATTTGTTCATTTGAATTGATTAATTGTTCATCATTTGTATGATTTATTGTATCAATACGAAAACCAAATTCACGTTCAGTTAAACGTGAAAAACATTCAATTGTACGACGAAAACTTAATAATTTCTCTTTATTCATTAATTTAGTACCTGTTGTTAATAGTTTTTTAGCTGCTTGCCAATAAATTGTTTCCGGACGATTATATTTCATAGCATTATCACACATAAGTTCAAAATCTGAACGAAATTCAAGAATATTTAAATATTCATCTTGATTAATTTTTTTTTTCATTGTAAAAAAATCCATTGAACGTGTTATTATTTGTGAATAACCAGGTGCAAGCTAAAAAAAAAGAAAAAGAAACTTTCTCATATGAAATATATCATTTTTTTGTTCTAATAATTTTACTTGATCAGTAATAGGATATTGAAAAAAACCTTCTTTATCTTTACGTGATAATAAACGGAAAAGATGATCAAGACATGCATTTAAATTTGTATTATCATCATTGGAATATTTTAATGTTGATCGTTGAAGAGATTTTGTTCGTTCAGGAACAAATTGATGTTGAGGAAAATGATGTTGATCAGAACTATTTGTTGATGTTTCAGGTTGTTGAGATAATGAATTATCATCATAATCAATTACAGCAAGACCAGAATGATTAGATGAATCTTCATTTTCAAATACAGGTTGACCACCAACACTAAAACGTGGACGTTTTGCACTACGACGACTCATTGATAGATAAAAATGAGAGGATAAAAACAAAATTCTAGAAGAATCAAAACAAAAGAAGAAATGATTAATATTGGATGTTCTTTTTTTTATCTATTTGTTAATGTGGTTTGCTTTTATTAACCATTGCTTGCTATATGCACTTATTTGTTTGCCATGAAGAAAATAAAGATGCCTTTGTTTACTTAATATATTGGATTAATTCAATTAGTTTAGAAAAATAATAAAAGAATTCTTAGAAAATAGAACTAGTAGGATAGTTAGTCAAGAAAAGTTGTTTTTTTTTGTTGTAATTTGTTTTGAGATGGCGCCACACGACAGTGAAAACTTGATAGTTGATATATTCCAATGATATTGTTTCCTTTTCAGTAGAAAAACAACTATTTTTCATACAACAAGATTACCTTATTTAAAAGGAGAGGAAGAGTTTTGCTCCACTATCTTCAATTTATCGAGAAATCTTGTCCTTGATAAACTATTGGAAGAATACATTCAACATTTCTAATAATCTTACAGAACATAAAATATAAATAAAATAATCAAGCTGAATTATTTTCAAAAACAAAGGGAAGAAACGGTTTTTTGGGTATCTGTAATCCAAAAAAAAAAATAATAGTTAAACATTGAAATTTCGCTGAAGAAAAATGAAAATTTTTCACTCTTGGAGATAACCTTCTCAACGTCCCGCTGGTATGATGATTATTCTTTTAACTGAGTCTGGTACAAGTAAACTAGTGAATTTTTATATTAAATATTCTATATTAAAGAAGATTCATGATAGATTCGAAAAAATTAAAAACTCATTACTAACAGCTTCTTTTACTGTTGAATTTGACAGGATAACGACATAAGTTATCACCGATGGGATTCGGCTAAAACTACGGGCTGGTTAATCAAAATTTTGCAAATACCAT